GATCCAGACTACCAACATATCTGCGATGATCATGTTCCTGCAAAGGCATGTTCCGGAGATAACCCCCACGTACCAAACCCTTCCAACTTCCGGAAACGCAAAGTTGCTTGAGGTAGCGACGTATCCACACACAGACACACAAAGACAATCACACAACAACAGTCAGCATGGAACACTGCTAATAAATCCAGGAAAACTCCACTGATCTATTTCCTTTCTGCAAGCATTATCGGCACAAACCCAGTTGCACTTCCGTTAGATCCCTGATAGCGAGCATATTCCCATGTACTGATGCGAGGCCCAGCACGACCTTGGCTCTGAACATTGTTCCTGTTGCATTTCATGTAAATGGCTATTACCTTATGGCAGACCAGATAGTATCCCATTCAATAACGCACCTAGTCATTGAGCGAGAATAGTATGTAATTACCTGCTAGCTTCCCACCAATTACAACTCGATATGCGCTTTGACTTTGAGCAATGAGAAATCGAAGTTCTCAAGGGCCAGAGAAGAATGGGACTCAACAACGGAATGCAGTAGAGCCACCACTATGATCTGGATGTAAAATGCTAATATGACCACAAAGATATCAGTAGGAAAGGGATTAACGGCCGGAACGGGGATTCATCTTGGCTGGTAAAGACTAGCCTTGTAGTGTCCCTCATTGGGCCGGTATTACGTGTGAGCTCCGCGCTTCCTTGATTGTCAAGGGCTCTGGCTCTTTCATTTCGTTACTCCCTGTCTGTATTGCCCGGATCTCCGATATAAGGGAAATCGGTGTGCGAGTGGGGATGATCTATTTCGTCTCGGCCTTTGCCTGTCTAACAGGTAACCCGATTAGTGGGGCTTTGATTCAAGGGACCAACTATCGCTGGATGCAGGTCTTTGCGGTGCTCGTGATTTTTGTGGGACTTGCGTTCTTCGTTGCTCTTCGAATGGCGCAGAGTCGCTCTTTGATGAAGGTCGTCTGATCTATCAGTAATTTTGCACTATATGGAGTGACGAGATCAGAGAAAGGTAAAGGGTCGAGAAACAGAATGATAGACAGCATAGACGCTTGCGTGTACACTGAGACATACATTGATCTGTGTATTCTGCCCCTTGTTAAAACACATTCTTACTAAGAAAAATACAAAAAAAAGTGCGAGAGATAGATAGAGAGAGAGAAGAAGAAGAAGACAATTCATTGCGTCAGCTACCAAGGCAAATCTTTCATAGTCTGCTTAAGGATCAATTAGAGGCAGCTGATAATTATACAGAACACAAGACAAAGCTTCTTAAGCAGCCGAATAAGACTTTTTCTTTTTCAGTTGCATCAGTACCAACAGGGGGTTCCCACCCCTTGTCGATGCAAACTAGCAATCTTAGGCTAACCGTCAGTGAAATTTTGACTGCCCGTAATCCCAAGTTATTATGATACTTTTTTCACTAATGGACATTTTTACATGTCATCTCACAGAGTATCAAGTGCTTAAGATTGATAATGCTAAGGTCTGGGGTGTTGCCCCGGGGTTTCTGAAGACAGGGTTGGGAAACATGGATCCTGCAATCGTGGAGAAAATGGGTGCAGAGGTTCCTAGTATTGGCGGTATCTTTATTAAGGAGGTGTTTGAGGGAGCAAAAGATGCGGATGTTGGAAAAGTTGTTCATGTGCAAGGATACATTAAGGACTGGTAGAAGAGACAGAGCACACACGGCTGGTAAAAGGCTTGTTGTAGTAAAACAATCATGTTACTAAATAAGGACCATAGATGTACGCCACATCCCAACTGTGTCCCCCCAAATTCTAGTTGCGCAAAGACAACTTGCACATCAATGGAGGCTTCTCCCACAAAGTAAAAGTCTTCTGATCCGACCAGTCCTTACTTTCCTCGCAAATCTCTATATCAAAGTTCCACAGCAGACGGGCTATTATTACTCGCATTTCAGCAAAAGCCAGGTTCCTCCCGATGCAGTTACGAGGACCAATAGAAAATGGTTGGAGGACTTCTCGGTTATCCGAAAAAAATGGCGAAGCCGGGTCTGTTTTGGCTTCTGGTAACCACCGCTCAGGAAGATAGCGCTCCGGTGCGTGAAAGTTACGAGGTGAGTGATATGCAGCGATCGGATGCACAAATACTTTGGTCTACATGCGTCGCCAAGTTAATGTCCAGTAATCATTGTGAATGGAGGTTTCTACTCACGCCAGGTGGGATTTCATAGCCCGAGATGAGGGTCGGCTCGATAGTCATACGCGTGAGCCCGGTCGGAACCGGAGGATACATGCGAAACGCTTCATCGATGCAAGCTTGCATGTATGGGAGCTTCGCGGCCACAGAGCTGACGGAAATATCGGTCTCGGACTTCATGATGGAACGAACTTCGGTGGTTACTTTCGCGAGAGCGTCGGGGCTCTTTAGGAGCCAATATGTGACGCCGCAGAGGATCGTGGCAGTTGTCTCACTGCCAGCAATAATAAGAATATTAGCATTAGCCACAAGCTCTTCGTGAGTCAAGCCGTCTTTTGTGCCGCTATTCCGCAACATCGAATCCATGAAATCCCCTCGATCATACTTCGATGCATTGTCGAGTCTCTTCTGAACAGTTATCCTAGTATGTGCCCGTTGCCGCTCCCGTGCATTAAGGAGTGTCTTTGGCATGGCGAGGGCTATGAGTTTGAAGATTGTCGGGTATGCATCTCTTAACTTGAGGAATGGTAAGAGCTTGAGGAATTGGAAGATCGTTGCAACCCAATAGTGATACTGAGAGCTTTCAAGACCACCAAAAGGTTCTCCAAAAGCCAGGTCACCGATAATGTCGAAGGTGGTCAAATTGTACCACTTGACCATATCAGCTGGCAGCTGTGACTCTGCGATATCTTTCAAACGGGAGATCAGTTTGTCTACGTAGCTGTTGATGAGGGGCTCCTGGGCCTGTAAGCCCTTGGCGGAAAAGGCGGGTGATAGTGCTTTGCGGAACCGACTGTGGTCTGCTGCGTTGGCGCTAACTGTGTCCCTCGGGTTGGCACCGGAGCTCGACACTTTTGGTAGTTCACTGTGGCCATATCCGTGAATCCTGTTCCATGCTTCTGCTGTGTTGAAGGAGACTTCGTTATGGGTCACGCGCACCACAGGGCCGTACTTTTCATGGAAGCGATGTATGTCGGCATCTAATCGCCCTCGGACTGCTGAAATGTGTCGGAAAAGTGGAAGGATGATCCATGATTTAGGGCCCGGAATGTGTCGTAAGGGATGAAGGTATAGTGCGTGTATTATGCTAAGTATGGAGTAAAGGAAATATATGCCAGGCGCTATAGCTAAGATCAGAGGGTCCAACATGGTGGTTATGGTGATGGATGTCAGTGACAGTCAATGAATGAACTCCAGGTTCCGGAGGTGTAAGGTAGGCTCCTAGGCTATTTATATACTGTCTCATTCCCCCGCCTAATGCATGTGGACTTCAGCCTCTCACCTACCTATCTACCCGCTAGTACAGATAGTAACTCGTTAGGGAGAGGAATCAACGAGGCTGAATCAGCGCACCAGATTTACCCGTCGGTCGCGGCCAATCGGGCATACACACGAGACAACCTCAGAAATTAGGGCGACGTGTCAGACGAACATAACAAGCAGCTCAGTCAGGCAGGTCAATCATATTCCTTGAAATAGTATCAAGATTCTCTGAACAAGATGGCCTAAACTCTGAACTTGTCATGTGTGAGACTTCCGGTCCAATCATCAGCTTGGTAAAGCTGCAGATGCTTCCACACTTAGTCCTCATCCCCACTTGGCTAAGCCCCCACGGCGGCACTTAAATATCCAGCTCCCTTGAGAGGAAACGTCTTCGGGACAGAAAGACCCAACAAAACGCGACAGCCGAAATCGGGTGTTGGAAGAAAGAGTAGCCTTTTGTGAGCAGCACCATGGAAGCATCTGCTCACAACAAGCCGATCGCCATTTACCAAATGAGATAGAGGTTCTCCAGTACGAGAAACGAGAAATTGCGCGCACGTCTACAATCTTTACCGAATATACTCCTATTCATGGGATAACGAAGAACGACCCGCATCTAGGGAACGATAACGACAGCGCTCGGTCGTCAGCCCGACAGACCAAAGTATATATCCGAGCAGACCTCTCATAGCTGCAGGAGAGGGAGATCGCAGATCACAGGCAGACTAGCCAGAATTAATGATCCCGCCTTTCGTAAGCACTACTGCAGTCACTACGCACGAGATACCGGAAAATCTTCCGGCACCTTCCACTCAATCGCAAGACCCGGCCTGGGGGGCTTCGCCAATGCCATCCCGTGGGTCTCGACATTTTTCCCTGGCCGCAGCTACGTTCCAACCTTCTTCAAAATGGGCACAAGTATGACTACATGGAATTGACGAGTTATTTGAGCTGCTGTATGAAGGTACGGTAGTCTTGGGGAATGGCGATTCTTGAACGTGACGAGCGTGATGACTTGCAGATTTGTCAAGATTTCCTTGATGCTTTCACTGAGGAAAGTGGGTGGGGGTTGACGTCGGAGTTTATAGCCAAGTACCCGGAGCTATTGGATGGCATGGATGTTGAAGTTGTGCGGTTCCAAATTACGATGCGACAGCCGTGCTAATCACCATACTCTAGAATACAAGCGGCAGAGACAAGTCAGAGGGACGCGTCTCTGTCCACTCGAATACCTGTCCATCGAATGTCCATGCTATCTTAGAAAAATAGGTACGTGGCCCTTTCGACCCACAGAGTTCGCCCGCCCAAGACATGTTTAGTATATCCATCACTACTACCGTCAATCCATAAGTGTAAATAAAAGATTACTAGAACCAGCCCAGGTCTCAAATGAACCTGATACTGTCTGAAATATCTGTACAAGCTTCAGATATATTACGAGTGCTACCGGTTAAACAACTATAAGGGCTGCCATAATCAATTCCTGGAACTGTGTATACAGGCGGTGTTGGAGTTCGGAAACGTTTTCCATTCCACCAAATTGCGGCACGCGCAAAGGATGAGTATCATCCTCATAAATTCGTGAAAACATGTGGGATTCCTCCCAAATCACCTCATCTCTTTGAAGGATTTATCCACGTTCAGAAACATTCTAGAAAATTTCTCGATTTGTGAGTCACTACCGATGTCATTAGTTAGCGTCCATCGGGCAAACATGATCATCGCCCTAACGATCTCAGCTGCGCCCCGTGGCTGGAGATCCCTATATCTGAAACAACTTGTTTTTCGCCACTTCTATGCAGTTTTCCGATGTATAATAAACGTCTTCGAGGTATAGTGACATCTGTTCCCTCTTTAATGCTTATATTTTCCCACCTTTAATGTTGACAAATTGCCGTCACGGATCCTACTTTCGTTCTTGATCGTTATAATATCTACCGCCACGGCCAGCAAGACCATCAGTACCCGCAGCTTCTCCACACACCGGAAACATCACCGCGATACCCAACGACACCAGGACAGCGTTGTGTCTTCAACTCCTGAGCTAGTAACAATGGGAGCCCTTCAATTCCCACCCGGCATTGACCCAGACGATATGATCGGGCAAGGAAGCAGCGGAATAGCAGCCCTGGATCCCAAAACAAAGCACATCATAAAATTTCCATTCAACGAAGACGAGGCACGGGCTGCATGCGATCGTGAAAAGGAGATTTACGAGCGTTTAGAGCGCTCACCACTCCCACGGCCATCATCGCTCTTGAAATACTACGGCCCTAGAGACCAAGGAATTCTCCTCGAATACGCAAAGCACGGTACATTGCGGAGATACGCATATGGGTTGGATCTTCCAATCCCACTCCCTGCGATTCTTCGCTGGGCCAAACAAGCAGCGGAAGCGCTACAGTTCATCCATGAAAATGGGATAGCTCATGGCGACGTTAGCTGTGTGAGCTTTTATGTGGACCAATTTCTGGACGTGAAGGTCGGTGATTTTACCCGGTCGTCGGACGCGACACCGCAGGCTGTGAAGCAAGATATATCGGATTACGGCTCGGCTCTTTATTATTTGGTTACAGGACAGTATCCTTATCAAGGCCTGCCAGAGAAGGAAGTGGAGGAGTGCTTTAAGCGAGGGGAATTTCCGGATCTTACGGATGTGCAGTTGAAATCGATTATTCATCCGTGTTGGGCGGGTCATTATAATAGCTTTGAGGGGTTGCTTGTGGATGTCCAGGGGCATGTTTGTCTTTGTCACAGGCATTAAAGGATTCAGCTTATCGGACCGTTTTGGGCTTCCCATGCGTCCGTGGCACTTGCTGGTATGAGCTAGCAACTATAGAAGCCGTGCCTATATATTGTACATCGGCTTCTCATCCCGGTTTTATAGTACCGGATAGTCTCCGCCTATAGATTTTGGTACTGTAAAAAGATATAAAAGTATTCATAATTCAGAGTGCCGTCAGTGATAGAAAACTTAAATTATTAACTAAAGAATTCCTGGGTATCATGCTTCGGATTATAACAACAGGTTTAATAGATATCCCAGCTGGGACTGATTATTATATTCTTTTATCAGAAAACAGCATGACGGAAACAGCGGTGGTAGGCTTAGAAAGAATAATAGATCTTAATATAACTACAGTTGCAGAACGCGAAACGCTGGGAATATCTGGAAAGGAAAGAAATATCTTTATCTTATTATTCAGATTAGCAATAAGCTGCTCCGTGTTGAAGAGTGCTATTCCTACCTACTGATTTATATCCAGCCCTCGATGGTATCTCTTCAATCGTCATATTGATTGATTGATGACGCCGCCGTGCAGGTTCCTACTGAAAATAATCCGGGAGTATGAATAAGAAGAAAAGTTAGACAGATATAAATATCAAATTCACCCACAGCATTACAGCACGATGATAATAAGACTGAGATTTCAAGAACAATGACTCACATCGCATAGTAGTAATGACATGCTTGGTGGTTGACCTACTGCTGTGCTTTTCCATCGACGCCATCATGACCAATTACGGTGGCGCTGCCGTTGTACTTGATTCTTGGAACCTGGCATCTTCTCCCTTCTTCCTTTTTTTTTCACTTCTGCTTTCTCACTTCTTTCTTCTCACGTCTCTATATCGCCTCGAAGCCTTCCGACGTATTATCACAAAGACATTCAACGTATAATCCCAAAGCCTTCTGCAATCTTTATTCTGCATTAGTACAATGCAGGAAGAAGTATCGAGATCAAAAACTGCCATGATATACTCTTATCATCCTTATCCAACTTTGCCTACAATGGATAGCTCCATTGATTCTCAAATTAGGAGAGTTCTGCTCGGTTTCGTTCTGGTGGCAGTAGGCACCTTGCTATTACTTTGTCTGCTGGCCAAGGGCTATATTATGTATCAATTCCAATTCTATCATAACGTGCGA